CGAACTGCATGCCTTCAGAGCAGTGCTCTCGGTACGGGCTCCTTCAATTAACATAACATGGTTTACAGAGTACGCTATATTTTATTTGAAGAACAGCTTACCACATTCCAGAGGCCACGTTACTGAAATCTTGCTCGTGTGTGTGTGCAGAATGTTTGTATGAGAAATTCCTGTGTCTGAGAATGAGTACCTCAACATCAAACCGTTGATTCAGAGTGTCTGAGAAGAAAGTGCTGAGCAGAATATTTAGATCTGAGGAAAATAGAGAGAAGAAAGTGCTGAGCAGAATATTTAGATCTAAGGAAAATGGAGAGAAGAAAGTGGAAAATGGAGAGAAGAAAGTGCTGAGCAGAATATTTAGATCTAAGGAAATTGGAGAGAAGAAAGGGGACTGAGAAAATGCACAGCAAGTTTAATCTTCAAAATGTTATTAAGATTCTAACACCAGGGAGAATGAGATGGGATTGGAGTGTACCACTGATGGGAAAGTTAAGAGATATGTAGGGAATTATAAGAAAGCGCCCAAACAGAAAGGACCACTTGCAAGAGGTGCAGGTATTGATCTTAGAGAAACAGGATTGGAGGTGGCGAGTCTGTTCTACTGCCTCAGAATGGGTTAGAGAGGGAGTTCTTGTAGACATGACCTGCTAAGACACACTCAGCTTCTCGGAGAAGACCCAGCATCATGTTGTTGAACTATTTATGCTGTTTTAATTGAACAGATATGTTTTTGCATACCTCGTGGCAGTATATAACTTGCGCTTGGCAGAGCTCATGTTGAGAGGCATTCCGTTGAATGTCCACTGTACTGAAAGAATTCAAACATAAGTTATAAATAATAATGCAAATCCACTTTACTCAACTGAAAACATGAGTGCCGGGGAAATCCATCGTGAATCATGCGTGGTGTACGACCAAAATGTAATGAGTGAATGATCTGTAAGACGGTGGTGTAGAATGTTCAGAAATGGGCGGGCGAGCAAATGTCCACGATGAAGAGCGAAGTGGTCGATGATCTGTGGAAGGTGATGATCTTGTTCAAAATGTTGAGAAAAAAAATTGTGAAAGGCGGCACTTCACAACTTCAGAACTTTCATGTGAATTTCCACAAATTTCACGCTCTCTTCTCTACAAGATTCTCACAGTTGGACCAGACTACCACAAGTTTTCCGCAAGATGGGTTCTGAAAATGCTCAAGGCTTAGGCCTTGACTTTTTATAGCGATAACACAAAGATGGCGAAGAAATTCTCAGTCACATCGTATGACTAACAGGTGACGAAACCTGAGTTCCATTTGTGAATGTTGAAACCAAACAGCGGCCAAAGCAGTGGGGATGCACACACATTCAACAAACAAGCAGAAGTTTAAACAAATGTCTGCCTGCCGGGAGGCTGATGACAACTGTTTTCTGGGACAGGAAAGGAGTGCTGATGGAGGAATTCATGCAACAAGGGACCACAGTGACGTCAGAAGTGTATTGCGAAACACTAAAATAACTGCGTAGGGCCATTCAGAACAAAGGGGTTGGAATGCTGACATACGGTGCACTCGTAGTGCTTCTTCCTTACAATTCACGTCCTCCTACAGCTGCTAGCACTGGAGCACTGCTAGAGTATTTCAACTGGGAGTTGTTTGAGCACCCTCCTTACAGCCCTGATCTCGTTCCGAGCGACTACCACCTGTTTATCTGCCAGAAGGACCGGTTGCGATCACAGCACTTAAACGATAGTGAGGAATTGATGAAGGTGCCAAAATGTGGTTGAGTTCACAAGCCGCATATTTTTGACACAGGCGTACAAAATCTATCCCCCAATACAAGTGCCTCAGTTCCGGTGGCGACTAAGTTGAGAATTAGCTTATGTTGTATGTGCGTTTCTCTTTGTATGCAATAAAACGTTTGTTCTTATTGCTTGCTTTATCAACAGCTCACCGAGGTTACTTTCCGGATAGCCCTCGTATTAGAACCTATATGGAGCGAATAATAGAAAACGTTTTTCCTCAAGTTCAGTAGTTTCATTACAAGCCAGACCAGAGAACACGCCACTGGATGCACGTTCTTTTCTAAAGATCCTCAGGATATATGATTTATAGAAGTAAATTGTAGTGTAGGTTGAATTGTTTACTTTTACAACCCCTTTACCTCCTTGTCAAAGAGAGGCTGACGTATGACATAAAATCGCTTTGACATTCGAACATGCACTCCCTGGCCTGGCAGAACAGTTTTCGCTAACGAGTTCATGTTCAGTGGAGCATGAAGTGGGTAAAGCTGTGCCCCGACTCCCTCAACTAGGTTCCTAATATTTCCCACAATATTAATATGAGTTTTCTTTTGTCTTTATGGCTCTCGTTATGGTTCATGATCTCATTTTAATTTCATCAGTTGTTTTGAATCGGGCACCAGTTCCAGGCACTATTCACGAGTTAACTTTGAACGAGGCCAAATGTCTCATATCGAGACTCAAGGATTGGTGATAATTATGATAACCTGGATGACATATCACAGAGCAGGCGGTATTCGGGATATAACTCTGTCACAATTCATTAGATGCCTATCATTTTTGGTAAGCTGGAGCTAGAGATACCTACTTCGAATCTCGAACAAGAAAGTAGTTATAGTCACAGATGTCTTCGTGGGTTTCTCAGTCCTACTGAGTAGATTCATGAGCCCCTTCCCCATCACAGTATTAAAGAACGTGAGTATCGCCCCAGGATACTCTCCTTCAATATCCCGGGCTAGGGATTGGCTATCCTCACTAAAGATTTTTTTTTGTGATTTCCTTAGTCATTCAAAGAGAAAATGCCAGGACAGAACGTAAACTTAGTTCATTACCGCTTCTTTCCACCTCCATTAAAATTTATTATTTGCTCATTACCATAAAATCAAATAATCTGTAATCTGTGTTGATGATATCGTTGTTAAACACAACAAAAATTCAATAAATAAGTTAGGTTATAATCAACTCGGGAGTTAACATTCCATTATGGTTTAGATAGTTTAATCAATCTTCTGTCTTGCGTGAAATTTCTCTTCAACATATGCAATGGTTTTTTCCTGCCTTGATGGCCATAATCATAAAAGATACAAAGCGAAGTGCCCTTACACAGTACACAAGAAACTAATTTAATTCTGTTTCTTACATTTCCTATTGCATCCCCCCCATTTTCACTATTCAATAAATATAGTGAGGGTGATGGAATTAAGTTAAATGAGATGGACGGAACTGTAGCATGCGTGTGAGAAATGATAAATCCATACCGAATACTAGCCGGAAAACCAGAATGATAAAGATTTCTTCTCGGGGGATTGAAGTGCAAATGGGAGAATAATATTGACACTTTTCTTTAATAAACAGGACATGAGATTTTGGGCTGGATTTATCTGGCACGTTAAAGTGACCATTGTTGGACTGTCATGAATACGGCAATGGACTTTGTGTTCAATAAAAATGTTAGAATTACTTGGCCAGCTTGGCGACTCTCAATGCTCCATGGAATTAGTTCAGTTCTGGTGCATCTTCCTGTTCTCCCCTCCATAATCATTTTATCCGTGGTTTTCTTATATCACAATATTCCCGTGCATTCTAACGAAATTTTGGCACTACGCCATTAAATATTTTGTTCAAACGGTTTAACAGCTTTTATCTGTCATAATTTTCATTCGCGGAATAAATAGGAGCATTTAGCGTCTACTCGCATCTTTGTTTGTGACCGTGTCTAACCTGGTGCATAATCTGCATTTTCCGAAAAAAGTTAGTTTCCACTGCTTGGATTTCAGTTGCTAACCATTTTTATTTTTCCCACCTTAAATTTCGTTTCCTTTTGCTATTACGGAAACTGCCGGCATTTTATAGACAGATTCAGAGACTCTCGTTGGAAGTAGCCACCTAAGCCTCGGAGCAGGAGCATGGCCTGCTTGACCAGAGGGATGCTATCTGCTGACAACAGAGATACAGTGTGATGGAGAATAAATAGCCAGATGGCATGATCTCGTCTGTGGTAGGAGAAACGTTTCCCAGTAAAGGAATAATACGCATAAAGGCAAGGAATATATTCGCGCTGAATGTGAATAAGAATGCTTTCTTTCCTATACAAGTATGACATGTGGCCGGTCTTGTAACTGCTGGGACGCCACTGTGTGAGTGGGTTGGATCGATATCTCGAGCTCGGCTGCGAGGGTTGGTACGACGCTGCGCGATGCGAGAGCAAGCGGGAGCGAGCGGGAGGTTGGTTTTGAGACGACTGCCAGTTGGAGACGAACCGCCCAGCCCTGCGTAGACTGTTCAGTCATTCCTACAGCACGTTAACCTCGCTAGCCTGCCACCTCAGCCAGCACTGGCATTGCTTGTTATTCGATCAAACGGGGCGCACAACACGCTCCTATAACAGCAGCCCAAGACAAGATTGTACAGTGATGAGTCGTGTGAACAAAATGTGCATTGATGTTGTGTACTAGTTGTTTCTGGATGCGGACCGAGCAGTGGTTGTGTAAAATTCATGTTGAAGATTTCGTGATTTCTTTGTCGTTTAGTGAAGTGTAATTGATCTTCGATTTGGCATAATTTAGAACAACGGGTTACAGTTCAGTAAATTCTTTCCCCAAAACAAATTTCTATTCCTATTACAAATTGAGTCATTAGTAACACTGAATAACATTCCTGTGTCACGATGGGTGCAATTTCCTCGAGACTTTCATATTCATTTGTGTCTAAAGAAATTATTTGAGTGCTTTTTGTGACGATTAATGTGATTTGATAACTTTAAATATGTTTATAGAACAAATGTGTTACATACAAATTACTCTCCTAAATTATTCATAACCGTTAATTGGGTAACCCTGTGAAACTCATATATCCTTCCCCAAGTTAGAGTATCGTATCTAATTTCGTAGATAAAACTTTCTCTGTGTAGTAAAACGTTTAACTGCTGCATGTTAAATGAAGTTATATTAAGAACAGTATGATTTGTGACATGATTAGCGGAAAATTGGGTTATGTTACAGTGACATTCGTGACTGAGGACCCAAACACAGAAGAACAAATTCACGGACTTGGGTTACTCCACTGTGCGTCGTGTTCAGCCATGAAGCCACTCTCGCTCTAATTTACTTCTGCTGAACCATTCATCTAGGATTCAAACCCACAATTAAGGATTATAACATTTTTAAAATTATATATTGCTACAAGGCTAAACGTTTAATAATAATAGATAACACATGAGAGATAACAACGTATGAAGTGTTGTAAGAAAGTTGGCGTATTATCAGTGGTGTTCTCATGTTACCCAGTGAAATAAGTGAGTGACAGTGCGCAGTTAGAAATGAGAAGTGAAGACTTGATTCACTTGTGAATTTTTATTTCTCCTGGAGGATTTATATAAATCTGACCCTACGTTATTACCCGTTTGACCCACCGCGATGATGGCTTGTGGTGAAACAACGGAAGGCACTTCTACAAGCAGGAGGAGGGGGACGTCATCAATCATTCTCCTTCTGCTGCTCTTCTGTCGGGACTCAGGTAGGGTGTCATCTCAACTGCTGTGCTTTGACAGTTGTGCCCAATAGAGCAATTTCTGTGTTACCTTTAAACAAGGCGGTGTCCCGACATTTGTGACAGTCGGCAGCTCTAATGTACTCATGCATTTAGCTACTGTTTTATAAAAGTTGACCATTTTGTTGTTCACTTATTTCGACCAATTCGATAGTAAATGTTGAATTTTACTATGGCTGCCGATACGTCTGACTAGGGCAGCTTTCGGATTTCGACCCTGCGGTCCATGAGATTCAGAGTGACACAACGAAGTTCATGAACAATCGTGAATAACTTTAATCATTTCTGTTCAGTCTGTGTAATTGTAACGTCTTCAGATTTTCATAAAATGAGTTAATTTTATGTTGCAAATAAAATCATTAGACGTGTTAACAATAATAAGCAATGAGGGCAGTATAATATGGGACAGATGGGGCAGTAATTCATCGATACCTGCTACACGTCTATCGGACTTCTCGACATAGAATGTTGTAACCATTCAGATGGGGTAAATCTGATATTGGTTACTTACAGTACTTTGTTAAATTACCCCAGTTACACAAATATTGTGATTCGTTTCTGGTTCCAAGCTAGAGTTTTTACAGTAATTTAAATTGTGTTAATTTTGAACTTGTTGCAAGATTTGAACACACTCAAAGAGTACTTGCACGTGGCACTGCCTGGAATGACTCCTGTTACAGAATTCTCCCATTGCTTTCTACTCATGTGTACACAGAGTGGCCCAAAATTCAGGTTACATGAAATATTCCCTCATATTAACGGAAATTTTCAGATATAAATCTGCCAGTCGATTTGCAAAACTGTATTACATTGTTTTGAGTTTCTTACTGAACATGGAGGACCTCATTTGGGGGGGGGGAAATTAAATTGATAAAGTAACAAAGAATTTTCAAACGTACTTTTTTTTTTAATGCTAGTGGGGTGAGACTCAGTCCCTTGTACTGGAGCCACTTCTGGCCTATTTTACCAGCCCCAGATGATAGGTGAGGGTGATTGTGGAGCAATTGGTGGAATGAAGATTGGCAAGGGAAACCGAAGTACTCGGAGAAAACCTGCTCCAATGCCACTTTGTCCAGATTTCATCGTCGTAAGTTATTTAATGGTCGTATAAAAATAACTGCAGTTATTCAACTTCGATATGCATAAAAGCCTGATCCCGTTCCATACATTCGAGAGGAAGCGAATTTGACCTGTTTTGAGATTTTAACTCCGCAGGAGGGACTGATGAAAATCACGGAAAGCCTCAGTGTTATGTGTTCCCTAGGGATTCGTGCGAGGAACAACGGAATAGAACTCAGTAGCGTTAGGGAATTTGTAAATATTATAATGCTATTATATACTGGTGTAGAGGAACTTGTACACTGTGTTTTCTGCATGCTTGTGTTTATGGTTATATTTTGCGTGATTTTCTTCATTTGTACTACTGTGTCTCATAGTTTTAAGGTAAAACAAATGGATATAGTTTTTGAAGATAAAAGTATTGCTGCGAGCTGATATCTTTAAACTCGTCCTAAAGTTTTAATAAGAAGAATAAACATAAATTCATTTCATGTTTTACAGACCGTCTTTCAGTGTTTTGCTTAACAAATTTTAAAATTAAGGCAGTGGGGAACTATAGCTTAACATTTTAAATTAAAGCAATTAGATAATACGCACAACTGGCTGACGGAGAGAAAGCGCTGGTCATGGATTAAATCCGGTACCCCTTCCTAGGTTTGAAATCCACAAAACTATCGTACTGATAGCGCTTGCGCCTACAGAAACACACACGCACATATCTGTAATTGTTCGATAAAGTTAACATTCAAATAGCTGACTCAGTAGATCAATGAACCCTGTTTATTCTGCGATAAAACTGACGGTGCCTAATATAGTGTTCCTGTGAATTGATTCCTTGAATATTTAATGACACTATTTTAGCTACGGAATATCGCTGAACCTTATGAAAAGATCATCATGAATAGTGGGTAGATAAGGCTGCGAGAGTAGGCTGTGAAAACTATTTTTATGTATCATCCATGCATTTGTGTAGAGAGTGAAGAAACCATGAAATGTGTCAGTCAGGATAGCGTATAATGTCATGTATCCTTATCGAGCGGACACGTTCTGACTTGCATTCGGAGGCGTCCGAATGGAACCTGGGTTGGAAGAAGGTGCACATATGAGTGAACCTTTCCTTGAATTTTCTCAGTAGATCAGGAAAATTCCAGAATAATTCCTTAAATTTGCCTCCCAACACTTCCTTTGACACTATTCGTCATTCATTACCATCCAGCCGTTCGACGGGTGAAAATTCTGATTAACTAGCAGAGTAGATGACGAAGGACAATCACCATAGGAGATTCAAAGCTGACGAAGGTTCATGGCATTGCTGATAACTTCATGTTCTATGTCTCTTGCTGGATGAAGTGATTATCTTTCAGTTTATATTCATAAACTTAACTTAACCCATTAAGAACTGAGTCAGAGTCACTTTACGACGGCGGTTTACCGCCAATCAATTCGTCTTGGTGACAAACCTCTTGAGACTCACGAACAGAAATTTTATTTTCCAACTGAACACTTGTAGTTATAGCCCCTTTAAAATATGCTGCTGATCCTGGCCAGCGCAGTCATTCTCTACCTCACAGAAACACGTGGCGTGTCCGCTACAAAGCCCAACTGGTTATTGCTGTTTAGCAAAGCAGTCGCCCTTTATTGTGAGAACTGTATGAAACTGTCAAATGCGCTCTGTGGGGAGAGCGCAGAGCGTGAGTGTATTAAAGCAGGTGGTATATGCAGTGACCGCTGGAATTTGATGGGTTAATCAATGCAGTTACTGTTCTTGCTATTTTGAAAGTTGAGTGTCTTTGATCAGTTGGGTCTTTCGACACTTTATTCTGTTTTCTAACAAGAAGTCCGAGGAAGAACTACTTTCCTCCAATACCACATGGACTGCATAGGAAACCAAAAAATAAGTGAGGACATGGACCGGCAGAAAGGTGATATCATAGGCGTCAAAAATTCAGGGGGATACACAATTACATGGACAGACACAGACAAATAGCAAGGTGATCTGAAGCCTCCTTTTATTTTATTTTTTTTAAAAGAATGAATTACGCTAAAAATATTGCGTAGCAGCTTCTCAGATTCTAACGGACCGTAGCAGCCCAGTGAGTACCAGTCCTGATCGTTAATTCCAGACGTCTGCTCTTCAAAGCTCGGCACAGGGACTGTCGCATTTTTCTTCATTTCCTTCCTAAATCCTAAGATAATGCTACAGCATCTGAATTCAGCCCTGTTAAATCTGAGCTGTTTACAAAGTCGTTAAGTAACCAGTAAATAAACAATTCAATTAATGAACCATAAATACATAAATGTGTTTATTTAATTTTGTATCTGAAGGTTACTTTAGGCTGATTAGAGTAAATTTTGTCGCATGTTTGCTGAGGCCTCATAGTAACAATTTGCTTCTGTGTGGTCTCCCAGTCGCATTCGTCCTCTCGGATTTTTTTAAGTAAATGCATCTGAAACAGTTTGTAAAATGAACGCAATATAATTAGCGTATTTGCTTGAACGTTGTTCCGCATTTTTTTTTAATTTTCTGAAAATTTTACTAGTTATACTCTGAAAGTCATAAAGACTAGAAATAATGTACTATATTTTAGAATAACGGTTTGAAAATGAAATTTACGAGTTTAAATTAAATATTTCATCTACCATTCGTTAAATTTAACAGATACAAACATTTTCTATACTGCTAATACAACACAACCATCATATCAGATATGTCATGTTAAGAACTCTTTTGTGAGTGTTATTATTGTTTGTGATATTTTTATTTTAGCATCCGAAATATTTTGTAATATTATCCCTTAGAATAGCATCTATAATAGGCTCATGTAAATAAAAATGAAATTCGTCCAACAAATTTAATTCATCATTCATCAGTAATCTGCCAGACGACAGGTCCACAGTCTACCAAAACAATTCCTCCACTTAATACGATCTAGAGCTTTCTCCTTCAAATGACAATATCCTCTTCTGTCCCCAAGGTCATCCAGCATATTCTTACGTCTTCTTCCTCGTCTTCTTGTCACTTCTATACGCGCCAGATAGGTTTAATATTGATTCACATTGTCAGGTTTAATTGAAATTCAGTGGAATGATATGTGAGTATGCAGCATTTTGGGCCCGTGCTTCTATATATATTTTTAAGAGAGATATATATATATAATCCAACAAATAAACTAATGAAATAATTGAGGAAGTATCAACCGACATGCCTTAAACTTAAAAATTACAGTAATGTATTCGTTTTCAGTTACTTTCAGATCTGATCACGGTGAAGCTCCCTAGAATGTAAACGAGAAAGTTACCACGGCAAAAACTTGCCTGCTGAAAACTGGAGGAGATTGAATTCTTGGGACTTCATGTGGTCGGACTTTATTGTATTTGTATTGTATTGGAGAGGGTTGGTTTCCCCATGCACTTAGACCAAGTGTTGGTTCATTGTGCGTCCCCCTATGATATTCTACCAGTCTCTATTCCCTACCGGTACAGGTGCGTGCCATCAGACCCGACTCATCCAGCGAGTTCGGCCTCTACTGGCTCAGCGGTATCTCTCGATGCATTCCCCATCTACCAGAGGCGTTAGAGACTACTGTTGGGCGGGAAATGTCCTGAATTTGGCTCAGTGGTGCCGTAAAGCTACGACACGGGACCCACGGCTTAAAGTCCCTCCCGGAGGACTTGTTCCCCGAATTTTTCCACCCTTAAAAATTCCACGACCTCCGCCGGCTTTGAACCCGCGTACCTTGAGTCACGAGGTGGGAACGTTACCCCTAGACTGCGGAGGCCGCTTGGTCTGACTGTAACTCTAGAAATGCATAAGGGTCAACAGAGTAACTGATGCCATTTAAACATTTGTGAGAGTGCTGATTCATTAAACTGCATTTATGTTTCGCATTCATTTCAGTTTGCA